CAGGATCTAGGCCACTTCTCTTTTCTCTTTGTTGGGTTTTTCTGCCACCATTTCCTTCTTGGAACTGAACCCCCGCACACCTGCTCACTTGCTCTCAAATTTTGTTCATGGCAAAACATTCCAGAGGGCTTCCCTGGTGGCTCAGTGGTAAAGAACCCATGTGCCGATGCAGGAGACTCAGGTTCAGTCTCTAGGTAGGGAAGACCCCTTGGAGAAGGAAACGGCTACCCTCTCCAGTATTCTTGCCTGGGAAATCCTATGGACAGAGGAGCCTGTCAGGCCAGTCCATGGGGTCGCAAGAGTCAGACACGACTGAGTGAATAAATGACATCAACCCTCACTCACTCTCTCACTCTCAAATTTTCTTCATCCCCAAGAATTCCAGGGCCCTTCTCCAGCCATATTTTGTCCTAGTTCTCTCTCTGGGTGACATTGCTGCCCTGGGATCACCCACTCCAGGGTCACCAACAGCCTCCGTAGCCAGATTCAGAGACCTCTCATTTCTTACCTCACTCGTGTCACTTGACGGCAGCTTGTGATATTCACACGCCGTCTCTCCAGGCTGCCTTTTCACTGTGTCATTCTATTTTTTTTTTTCTGCAGATTTTGTTAACGTGGACCATTTTAAAAGTCTTCATTGAACTTGTCACAATATTATTTCTGCTTTATTTTGTAAGATTTGTTTATTTATTGGCTGTGCTTGGCCTTCGCTGAACGCGCTTTTCTCTAGATGCGGTGCACGCGCTTCTCGGGGCTGTGGCGTCTCTTGTGGTGGATCACGGGCTCTGGAGCATGCGCAGTGCACGCGCTTCTCGGGGCTGTGGCGTCTCTTGTGGTGGATCACGGGCTCTGGAGCATGCGCACTCAGTAGCTCAGTAGTTGCACATGCGCTTCAGTTGCTGTGGCCCAAGAGGCTTAGGTGCTCTGTGGCATGTGGGATCTTCCCGGACTAGGGATCGAACCCATTGTCCCCTGCATTGGCAGGAGGATTCTTAGACACTGGACCACCAGGAAAGTCCTACTTCTGTTGTTCACATTCTGAGCTTTTGGCCGCAAGGCATGTGGAATCTTAGCTCCCTGACCAGGGATTGAATCTGCACACCCTCCATTAAACACTGGATTTCCAGGGAAGTCCCTCTCATCCTTTTTGGACACTTTCCTTCCCAACCCTCTTGAGCCCCTTGTGGCCATCATGGGTGTTTTCCTGGGACCCATGCCAGGCCCATTTTTCTCCTTCATTTTCATACTCCCATCAGGATCTCACCCAGCACTTCTGCCGATGGTTCCAGAACTCATTTCCAGACCAGGCTTTTCTCCAGATCCAGCCCCACACACCCTTCATGATGAGGCGGCTTCTCCACTTGGCAAGTCCGCTTACCTAACACAGTAATCATAGCATAGTAAGCTAAGGCTTCCCTGGGGGCGCTAGTGGTAAAGAAACCGCCTGCCAATGCAGGAGACATAAGAGATGCAGGTTTGATCCCTGGATTGGGAAGATCCCCTGGAGGAGGGCATGGCAACCCACTCCAGTATTCTCACCTGGAGACTCCCCGTGGACAGAGGAGCCTGGCAGGCTACAGTCCACTGGGTTGCAGAGTTGGACACGACTGAAGTGACTTATATCACTCATGCAACAGTAACTTCAGTCGGTTCAGTCGCTCAGTCCCCAACAGGATGTTAACCATCAATAATAAAAGTTCACAAGTACTCTTCTGAGCATTTTCACATACTAACTCAACTGCCCCAACAACAATAGGAAGTGTGTCTTTTTATTATCACCTCCTTTAGCAGAGGAGGAAATGGTCAGAGGGCGGTCAGAGAGCCCAAACTTTTTTTAACTTTAAAAAATTTCATTTTTTTTAGTTTGTATTTTTATCAAAGTTATTCATAGGCACAGTCAAATTGTTTCACAAGCTTTGCTATGAAAAAGAGCTGTCCTTGACCCTTCCCCTCCACACCTTCCTCTCTGGGAGCAGTCATTTTCAATGAAAGAGGCCAAACTCTTATTTTTAAATTTTAATTTGTTTTTATTGTTTTCAAAAATTTATTGGCATATAGTCGATTTACAATGTTGTGTTAGTTTCTGCTGTATAGCAAAGTGAGTCGGTTATACATATATCTACTCTTTTAAAAATTCTTTTCCCATATAGGTCATTACAGAGTGTTGAGAAGAGTTCCCTGTGCTAAACAGTAGCCCCTTCTTAGTTACCTATTTTATATACGGTAGTGTGTATGTGTCCATCCCAGACCCCCAGTTCATCCCTCCCTACCCCTCCCTTTGCCCTTGGCGACCCCAAGTTTGCTTTCTACATCTGAGACTTTATTTCTGTTTTGCAATTAAGTTCCTTTGTACCATTTTTTTTTTAGATTCCACATAAGAGTGATAGCACATGATACTTGTTTTTCTCTGTCTGACTTATTTCATTCAGTCTGACAATCTCTAGGTCCATTCATGTTGTTGCAAATGACATTATTTCATTCTTTTTTATAAACCCGAACTCTGAGAATACCATATTTTGTTCCCTTAACATGGAAGTTGGCTGCACCCACCACCCCTCCCCACTCCTATCCTGCAGCTCAGGGACTGTCATCAGTGTCCAAGCCTTAGGGACTGGTCAGCCTTCAGATTGTCCCCATGGCCACCAGCTCACCCAGAAACCCCCACCACCTCTCTCCTGACCAACCCATCTTCAACCAGCTCCCAAGGAACCCATGTCCCACACAGCCCCTTTTTCTAGTTTTCTAAAGCTCAGATTTGAAGATCTCAGTCTTTGTAATTTGCTTCTATGCCTCCCTCTGTCCTCAAGATAAAACTGACAGGCCTTAAGGGGGGTTTCCAGGCCTCAGCCCTGCTTTCACTTCCCCCCACTCCCCAACTGACCACATCTTTTGCCACTTCCCACCTCCCACTCTCTGGTTTCTACCACTGACATCCTAAGAAGCCCTCTTATCTCGTGTCTCTTCTACATTTGGCCACTCCTCCTGAAACATGCTCCCCTCGGGTCAGTTGCTTGCAAGACTCAGATCAAATGTCACCTCTTCCAGGAAGTTTTCCTGAAACTTCATACCCTTCCAATCTGAGTATGATACCCTGTGACCAATGCGTATCTTCTCCTCTCATAGCAATGTCTTGCTGTTTACATGTTTGCCTTCTCCATGGACACCAAAGCTGGAGCCTTGTGGTTTGTGTTTTCCCAATCTGCTGAGAGATGGCTTACACAATTAGCCTAAAATTAGATTTGTTGAATAAGTGATAAACAAATGATGAACAAATACCCACTCTGCCTTTCTCCTAGGATCCAGAGGCTTGACTCCTGGGCCCAGAGGTTTCCAGGTCCAAAGTGGAGGATTCTTCCCAGAGCCTCTCTTAGGGGTCTGAAGACACCCTGGCATCTACCCTTTCCCATCCCCTGGTTCATTGACATTTCAAGGTCAAGGGGAAACTTTCTTCTGTACAATAAGGTAACATGGGAGAGGTGGTGTGGGGCAAGAGACTTGCACCCACTCCAGCCTAGATTTCAGAGACAAGAGAAGTGAACCATATCATCTCTGCTTAGAAAGACTCCTGGTCACAGTGTGTGTGGGCTGCCTGCCCCTTTCTCTGCTTATTTCAGTTGTATTCTCCACCCCCCACCTCTGAGTCATGCTGACGACTTCCCCCTGCGTCTGGCCTGCTGAGCCTCTCTCTGCTCACTGGCTTCCTTGGCATCTTAGTCCAGCTCTTCTCTTTGGGGCTCAAGTGCTCTGATGCCCACCTCTGACCTTCTTGTCATGACTGGGACCCAGGTTTTTCTCTTCCTGTTGATGGGTAGGTAAGCCAAGGGTCACGATGGGGAGGAGAGGATGGGGGTCGAGCTAGGGAGAGAGCCAAGAATGCACTTTTCGAACTCAGACTTTAGGGGAGGGATCTGGAGTGATAGCAGGTTGAGGATCTGGGGTTTGTGGAGGTCGAGAGGATACTGAATCAATTTTAGGGGTGTTCAAGAGAAAATGCTGGAAGAGAGGCCAGTTGCCTGGACAATGCAGAGGTGTCTCAAGTAGGCAGAACAAGTCAATCGTGTACTCTGTCCGATGCATCTGTTTGGCCCCAAGTCTTCCTGAATTCTCCTTCATGGGGAGCCCTGAGGGAGGTATGGGGCAAGAGTTCTATTTGGGCATTGCTCTGTGGAAATGGAGAACTGAAACTTGCTAGCACACTAGCGGAGGAACAGCTATCCCTGGACCACCTGAAGGAGGCAAACAGGGCTGAGAGAGGCCTGAGTCTGGAGGTTCAGAAGCCCAGGAGATGCTGGGGCATTATGCCTAGAGGGGATATTGGGGGGAGGTAGCCTGGGGGCCAGGAAGATGGAGAAGGTGGGAGACCCTTCCTCAAAGCTTGTGTCCTCATCTTCCTTCCCAGCCCCGGTGTCCTCTTTCTGCTTCAACTTGGACACGGAGCAGCCGACAACCTTCCGTGTGGACAGCCCTGGGTTTGGACACAGTGTGGTCCAGTATGCCAAATGGTGAGGACAGTGTGGTGTCTTTGGCTTTCATCAACTCCTTCCCTGCACAGGGTTGGTCTCTCCCCACATCCCTCCCTTTATTCACAAACTCTCCTCTGTCTACCATGGCAATTCCCCCTCAGGCTATGAAGAACTGGACTGAAGAAGGGCCATCTTGCATGTCAACGACCACAACTAACTTCATTTTTTTATTGAGCAATCACTAAGTGCAGGCACCTTTGGACGGGCACTGACTTCATCCTCACAGCAACCATATGATGTAGGAAGCCACCACTCAACAAATGTTTGCTGAGCATCTATCACTGTATGTCTCAGGAGCCAGACATATACTGGAGAATGAAAGAAACCAAAATCTGTCTCCGGTGGAATTTAAATTGTTATTAATCTCCACTTTACAGATGAGGAAACGGAGGCTTAGAGAGGGAAAGCAAACTGGCCAAGTGGCAGTCTGGCTCCAGCATCCATGATCTTAGTTGCCGTGTTCTCTTCCCCCCCCAGGCTGGTGGTTGGAGCCCCCCAGGAGGTAAAGGCTGCCAATCAAACAGGCGGCCTCTACCAGTGCGACTACAGCACGGGCAGGTGTGAGGCCATCCCCCTGCAGGGTGAGTGGCTGCCCATGGCTGGCACCCAGGTTCAGGCTCCCATGCTCTGTGGGACTGTGGGGAACACAGGAGACTCACTCCCTGGCTTCAGCTCTGTCTGCAGACCCTGAGCCTCAGACAGGCCTCCTGACCCTCCCATAGTCTCCCCTCCCATCCCACCCCTGCGCCCCCATAGCTCCATCAAGACCTGAAAGCTCCCTTCACCTGTCAGACCGCCCCATCTCCCAGAGTTGAGGTGCCCCCACCTCCTCTGACCTGAAGGTAACCGCGCACATATCTGTGCTCGCAGTACCCCCAGAGGCTGTGAACATGTCCCTGGGCCTGTCCATGGCGGCCACCACCAACCCCTTTCAGCTGCTGGTGAGTTGCCCTGGGTCACGGGAGCGTCCTGATAGAACGCGTGGGGACCTGGGGCTCTGGTGCTGGGGGTCTCGTGGAGGTGCTGGGACAGGAGGGTGCGATGGTAGCAGGGACAACCCTTCCCACCAAGCCCCCTGTCCCCAGGCCTGTGGCCCCACCGTGCACCACGCATGCCGGGAGAACATGCACTTGACTGGGATCTGCTTTCTGCTGGCTTCCCCATTCCGGCAGGTCCAGAGGATCCCAGCTGCCCTGCAGGGTGAGTGTTTGGGGTCACTGAGTCCTTTGAGGAACCTACACACATCTGACAGAGGCCTGCCATGGGGCCAGGAACACTCTTACCAGAGTGGATAAACCAGAGGGATCCAGAAAAAAAAAAATTTCTCTGGAGGGCACAGTGATTCCAAACATGCCTGGAGAGGTCACCACCTGCTTTTACACCTGCCTCATCACTGTTCCAGTGCAGGGTCTTTCTAGGACCTTTCTCTCTCTGAGCTTCGATGCCCTTGTCTGTTTGATGGGAATAATAGCACACCCAACACTGTGAATAACATAGATGGTCCACGGCCAGGGTTTAGCACAGCACCTCAGTGGCGAGGCCTCAGTTTATGCTAGCTGCTACAATTTTTAGAGTGAAGGACATTTATTTTCACCCATTGTACCCTATGGTATATAACCAATTGATTTGTGCAGCAGGCTGGGAAAAGGTGATAAGGATACAGGCAATCTGAGCGGTGTGCATGTATGTGTGTGTGTGTTTGTATGAGTATATGTGTAAGTGTGTGTGTACATGTATATGTATGAGAGCGATGTATATATATTTATGTATGTTTGTGTATGTTGTGCGTATGTATGTGTATGTGTGTATGTAATGTATGTAATGTATGTATTGTGTGTTGTGTGTATGTTTATTCACCTGTGTGTATGTATGTGTACATGTGTGGTGTTTACATGTATTTGTGTGTATATTTGTGTGTGTTTGTGTGTGTGTATGTATATGAGTGTGATGTATGTGTATATGTATTTGGGTATGTTGTATGTATGTTTGCATGTGTGTTTGTTGTGTGTATGAGTGTGATGTATACATATATGTATTTGTGCACGTTGTGTATGTTTGTCGGAGAAGGCAATGGCACCCCACTCCAGTACTCTTGCCTGGAAAATCCCATGGAAGGAGGAGCCTGGTAGGCTGCAGTCCATGGGGTCGCTAAGAGTCGCACGCGGCTGAGAGCGACTTCGCTTTCACTTTTCACTTTCATGCACTGGAGAAGGAAATGGCAACCCACTCCAGTGTTCTTGCCTGGAGAATCCCAGAGACGGGGGAGCTTGGTGGGCTGCCGTCTATGGGGTCGTATAGAGTCGGACACGACTGAAACGACTTAGCAGCAGCAGCAGCAGCAGTGTATGTTTGTGTGTGTTGATATGTATGTGCATGAGTGTGTATGTGTATATATGTATTTTTGTGTGTTGTATGTATGTGTTATGTGTATGTTGTATGTGTGGTATATGTGTTATGTGTACATGTGTGTGAGTACAGGTTGAGGACCCGGCTTCCCCTGTGCTGATGGGGATAGGGGATGAGGAGGTGAAACAGTAAGCTTCTCAGACCCCACCTGGGGCAGACCAAGGCCCCTTCCTGGTTTCACATTCACACCCAGGCCCTTGGGGAGACTGACATCCGGGGCCTTGACTGGGGTGCCCCTCCCAGCACCTCCTAGGCCCCTGGGCTTCCACCAGGACACCCCTCTTTCTGCTGGGAAGCCTCAGGGGCAGATAGGGGAAGCTAGGGGCTAGACATGTTTCTCCATCAGAGAGCCAAGTCAAGCGGGACTTCCCCTTCTTTTTAAAAAAAATTATTGATTTAGTATTTATGTTATTTTTGTCTGTCCTGGGTCTTCATTGCTGCTCAAGAACTTTCTCTAGTTGTGGCGGGTGGGGGCATGGCGGCGGCGGGGAGGTCGGGGGCGTGGCGGGGTGGGGCGGAGAGTTGTGCTACTCTTCGAAGTGTATAGACTTCTCAGTTTCAGGGGCTTCTCTTGTTGTGAATCACGGGCTCTAGGATGCACCGGCTTCAGTAACTGTGGTGTGCAGGCTTAGTTGCCCCACAGCATGTGGAATCTTCCAGGACCAGGGATCTAACCATGTCTCTTGTATTGGCAGGCAGATTCTTAACCACTGGTCCACCAGGGAAGTCCCCAAGCTGTCTCTTCTGAGGATGGATTTTGTTTAAATATTTAACAAAAGTAGTTTGGTGCTGACCCCGAGCCAGGGGCTGGAGCCGTGTCCTTTTATTGCTGGACTGTGGGGACGGTGGGAGAGAAGGTGGAGAAAGGCCAGGGGGCGGGGCACAGACACTCCAGGTAGAAGGAGGAACCCCAGCCTCTCACCATCTGGACGGGACGAATTGTTACTTTTTAATCAACCAGGTGTGAGCAGCTGAATCACAGATGTCTTTAGAGACTTTGGGAGAGCGAGGGACCCTGTTCTAGGCAGGAGTCAGGGCAGCTCCTGGGAGGGAAACTCCTCTTCTTGTGGCCAGGAGACCTGGGCTTTGTGAGTGTCCCTCTGGGGACTGGTGCCATCTCCTTCCCCAGAGTGCCCAAAGCAAGATCAGGACATCGTCTTTCTGATCGACGGCTCAGGCAGCATCTCCTCCATCGATTTTAACAAAATGTTGAACTTCGTGAAGGCCGTGATGAGCCAGTTCCAGCGTCCCAGCTCCCAGGTGGGCTCTCAAGGGAGCGAAGGCTGGGGGGTGGCTTGTGGGAGGAGCCTGGAGATGGCGTTGCCTCGGCCTGACCCCCAACTCTGCGTGGTTCTCCCAGTTCTCCCTCGTGCAGTTCTCCACCAAGGCCAAGCAACACTTCACCTTCAAAGACTTCGCTACCAGCTCAGACCCACTAAGCCTCCTGAATTCCGTCCAGCAGATGCGAGGGTGGACGTTCACGGCCTCAGCTATCCGATTGGTTACGTGAGTCCTGACTCTTCCCAGGTCCTCCCCCCAAAGCATCTGAGTCTTCCTTCAGGGCCCCATCTGTCTCGGTGAGGAAGGGAGAGGTGGGCACTAAAATTCAGTCTGTGGTGTCCTGACCAAGCCAGGGGCCTCCAGAGGATCCCCTCGTTCTCACAAAAGCATCAGGGGCCAGGCAGAGGCTCTGTTCACTGGCCTCTGGACCCTCATCTTCCCTGACAGAGATCAACTGTTCACTGCCACATACGGGGCCCGAAAAGATGCCTCCAAAATCCTCATCGTCATCACCGATGGGGAGAAAACAGAAAAACTGGATTACAAGGATGTCATTCCCCGGGCTGAGGCCGCCGGCATCATCCGATATGCAATTGGGGTAGGATGGGGGGATGCCCTTACTCTCCTCCTCCCCTCAAGTCCTCTTAAGGCACCTTCCCTTTCAAGGACAGAAGCCCCCAGCTCTCTTAGCTTCTACCTTCAGGATGAAAACTTTGTCCCAGCCTGGGGGACTCTCATCCTTTTCCTCAAACTCCTCCATGCTGTCTGAGCCTCATTTTTCTTGCCTGTTCGCTGCCTGTAATTATATTAACCTTGCAGGGTTACTGGAGGAGCCCAGCATCCAACAGGCATGTTATAGTTCGGATTATTTTCACTGAGTTGGTCTTTGCTGGGGACAGGTGGGATCAGCATTTCGATACACAAATACCTTGCAAGAATTAATCGACATTGCCTCCACACCCTCTAAAGAGCATGTATTTCAAGTGGAGAACTTCGATGTTTTGCGAGACATTCAGAAACAACTGAAAGAGAAGATTTTTGCCATTGAGGGTAAGTCACAGATGGAACTACTCGCTTCAGAAGCCCTCACCTATAAATCCTTTTTCTTCTAAAACCTGGACTCCTTTGTCGTGGGCCAGTTTTTGCCTTTGGGTATTTAGTCTCCAACATGAGATCCTCTTGGGCTTCCTCAGTGGCTCAGTGGTAAAGAATCCGCCTGCAATGCATAAGCCACAGAAGACGTGGGTTTGATCCCTGGGTCAAGAAGATCCCCTGGAGGAGGGCATGGCAACCTGCTCCACTATTCTTGTCTGGAGAATCCCATGCAGAGGAGCCTGGCAGGCTACAGTCCATGGGGTCACATAGCGTCAGACATGACTGAAGCAATCTAGCACATAGCACACACATGAGATCCTCTTAAAGCTGAGATTCTCCTTGAACCTGGCAAAGCTTGTCTTTCCCCCATAGAACCTAGGTGTCATACCTTTCCCCAGGTACGCAGACAATAAGCAGTAGTTCCTTCGAATTGGAGATGTCTCAGGAGGGCTTCAGTGCTGTGTTCATGCCTGTGAGTGGGGCCCCTTTCAGCCCATTGATGTAGGGTTAGGCAGAGAAGGAGGAGGGAAGGCAAGAGTGGGCGGAGTCAGCGGCAGGCATTTCTTCCGAATAGGCTGTCTTCCCACCTGCTCACCCTGGAATCCTTTCCTCCCAGGATGGGCCAGTTCTGGGGGCTGTGGGGAGCTTCAGCTGGTCTGGAGGTGCCTTCTTGTACCCCCAAAATAAGAACCCCACCTTCATCAACATGTCCCAGGAGCACGTGGACATGAGGGACTCTTACCTGGGTGAGACAAGGCTGCGGCTGTGGGCTGGGCAGGAGACGGGCTGCCTGGGAAAGGCAGGGGCCCAGGGATGGGGAAGCCTCGGTGCTGAGCCCTGGCCCCTTCAGGTTACTCCACAGAGCTGGCCCTTTGGAAGGGGCAACAGAGCCTGATCCTGGGGGCCCCCCGCCATCAGCACACCGGGAAGGTGGTCCTCTTCACCCAGGTGTCCAGGCAATGGAGGCCGAAGGCTGAAGTCACAGGGAGCCAGGTTGAGTGTGGAGGGGGTCTCCAGGGGCAGAGGAGGAGGAGAGGAAGGGGGTGCAGGGCCTATGGGGGAGGTGTTGGTGTCTGGGGAGAGGTGGGACTTGACCCAGGGGTCGTGCCCCTGGCAGAGGGCAGACAGGATGACTCCAGACTCTGACCTCCAGATCGGCTCCTACTTCGGGGCCTCCCTCTGCTCCGTGGATGTGAATGGAGATAGTAGCTCTGACCTGGTCCTCATTGGGGCCCCCCATTTCTACGAGCAGACCCAGGGGGGCCAAGTGTCTGTGTGCCCCTTTCCCCAGGGGGTGAGTAATGATAAGACCCGGGCTGGGTGAGGTCTGGGTGTGGGATGGAGGGGTCGCCTGCGGTGGGACCTGACACTATTTTTGTTCTGCAGAGAGCTAAGTGGCATTGTAATGCTGTCCTGAGAGGGGAGCCGGGCCACCCCTGGAGCCGCTTTGGGGCAGCCCTGACAGCGCTGGGGGATGTGAATGGGGACAGGCTGGTGGATGTGGCCATTGGGGCCCCGGGAGAGCAGGAGAACCAGGGTGCTGTCTACCTGTTCCATGGAACCTCAGAACTGGGCATCAGCCCCTTCCACAGCCAGGTGAGGCTTGATCACAGTCCCTGTTGCCACAAAACCTCCTCCTGGCACCTTCCTGTCTTTGACACTGCCACCTAGAAGATTCTTCTTTCCCTCATCTTGCCTCTTTTGCCTAGAACTGGGCACCTAGTAGGCATCAAGCAAACCTGTGGAGCTTCGGAAATGGAAACATTGGTAATTCTTTAATTTGTATAGGCGGATTCTTGGTGGCTCAGATAGTAGAGAATCTTCCTGCAATGCAAGAGACCTGGGTTTGATCCCTGGGTCGGGAAGATCCCCTGGAGAAGGGAAAGGCAACCCACTCCAGTACTCTTGCCTGGAGAATTCCATGGACAGAGGAGCCTGGTGGGCTACAGTCCACTGGGTCACAAAGAGTTGGACATGACTGAGTGACTAACATTACTTTGTATGGTGACTTGATACTTTCTCCACCCAAGTCTTTTCATCCCCTGGCAGTTTTACCCCATACATTGGCCAGGCATTAGCAAAGACATTTTAAAGATGAAATCTGGGGCTTGGAGAAGAGAAGTGCCTTGACCTGTCCAAGGTTTATAGTGGATCAAGAATCGTGGTGAGGGAGATTCCAACCTCTTGTCTCTGACCGGGTGCTCCACCTCTATCTGGCTCGCTTTGCGAATCGGTTTAGTTCTGGGAGCCTCAGTCTGCCTGTCCACCTACCCCTTCATCTCCCTGGATATCATGACTTTATTGTCTCCTGCCATCAGTAATCCTGCCAGATACCCATAGGCAGGAGCCCTTCACTGGGTGGGGCAGGCTGAGAAGGGAGGGAAAAAGTTAAGGAAGTCTCAATTAAAAAAATAAGCCAAAGATCTGAAAAGACTTTTCTTCAAAGGCGATATACAAAGGACCAATTCGCACGTAAGATGTTCAGCATCATTAGTTATCAGTCATCAGGAAGTCAAAACCACAATGAGACATTACTTCACACCTACTAGGATGGCTGGAATCAGAAAGACAGATGATAACAAGTATTGATGAGGATGTGAAAGTTTGTGGCATACTCAACCACTGTAAGTGGGAATGTAGAATGATGCAGCTACTTTGGAAAACAGCTCTTCAAAAGGTTAAACTAGAGTTACTGGGTGACCCGGAAGTTCCACCCAAGAGAATTAGAAACATGTCTATACACAGAAAAGTTACACATGATTGTTTATATTAATGTTATATGTAACAACCAAAGGGGGGAAATAATCAAAATGCCCATCCACTGATGAACAAATAAAGAAAATGTGGTATACCCACACAGTGGCATATTATTCAGCAGTGAAAAGAATGAAAAACTGCCATGTGCTACAACATGGATGAACCCTGAAAACATTCTGCTTAGTGAAAGAAGCTAGATCCATCCAAGGACCACATATTGTGTGATTCTGTTTACATGACATGTCCAGAATAGGTAAATCCACAAAGTCAGAAAGTGGATTATTGATTGTCAGGGGCAAGGGGTGGAGGAGAATGAGGGACATGGGGGTGGCTGCTAAGGGACCCTTCTAGCCCTGATACTCATCATGGTAAGTTACTGAGTAGTGACCATATGCCAGGTGCTGTTCTAAGAACTCCATGAATTAGCTCATTTAGTGCTCTGAGGTGTTGTCATCCCAGATGAGGAATGAGGAAATTGAGATACAGAAAGACTGACTCCTGGCTTAAGATCTCATGGCTCATAAGAGAAGGAGCCAGAATAGGAACCTGAGATGAACTAGCCAAGTGAACGAATTAAAGTCAGGTCACCAAGCCAGTCTTTCTAGCTCCACTTCTTCATTTATGTCCTAGAAATTTTTTGTCTCTAGTCACTATTTCTCTACTCCCACTTCCTCTTTTTAGGTACTTCTTGGAGTTGTCTTTTTTTTTTTTTTTAACAGCTCACCCCTTCATTCTGCCTCCCTCATCCCCTCTTCCCTGTTCCTCTTGTTGCATCTGTTCAACTTATTTTTCTCACCCTCAACCTGACTTGGGTTTCCCTGGTGGCTCAGTGGTGAAGAACTCAGCTGCTAATTCAAGAGAGATGGGCTGGATCCCTGGGTCAGGAAGATCCCCTGGAGAAGGAAATGGCAACCCATTCTACTCTTCTTGCCTGGGAAATCCTACGAACAGAGGAGCCCGGTGGGCTGTAGCCCATGGGGTCGCAAAAGAGTCAGACACGACTGAGTGACTAAACACTAACAACAACCTGATTTGCCGCTCCCTCTCCGGCCAGCGGATCACCGGCGCCCAGCTCTCCCCCAGCCTCCGGTATTTCGGGCAGTCGCTGAGCGGGGGCCAGGACCTCACCCAGGATGGACTGGCAGACTTGGCCGTGGGGGCCCAGGGGCGCGCGTTGCTGCTCAGGTGAGAACACATACCCTTGGGTAGTCCCAGGCCTGCGAAGACACCAGCCTCCCTGGGTGTCCTCCCGGAACCAGGGGCTAGTCCTCAGCTCAGTGTTCTGCCCACAGGACCAGACCTGTGCTCAGGATGGGGGCGAGCATTCACATCACACCCGCAGAGATCACCAGGTCTGTGTATGAGTGTCAGCAGCTGGGGACCTTTCCCCACGATCTGGGCAAGGCCATTGTCTGCCTCCATGTTTCCCAAAGTCCCAAGAACCAGCTGGGTGAGTCGTTTGCCCCCTGACCCAGGATGCCTTGACCCTGGGGAGGCCCAGGGCTCCTGTCTCCTCCCTTGCCCCTTGCCCACCTGGGGAATTCCTCCTTCTCTCAGCCTTTTCCATCTCCCACTTTCCCCTACAGTTAACCTCCAAAGCATTGTGACCTTTGACCTAACCCTTGACCCTGGCCGCCTGAGTCCTCGTGCCATCTTCCAAGAGACGGGGACTCGGAATCTGACCCATGTTCGAGAGCTGGGGCTGAAGCAGAACTGCGAGGCTGTGAGGTTGCTCCTTCCGGTGAGGGGGGTGGCCTCGGGGTCCTGGGGAGGGAGGCGACTCTGAGGCTGGTAGGGGGTGGTGGCTGGGCAGGGACGCAGGGATGTGTTCTGGTCCTCGCCCTGGCTCCGCCCCCAATGGCAAGTGGAAAGCAGGAGGGACTTAACACAGGTTAGCTGAATGACTGAGGAAGTAACGGATGGATGAGGTTGGCTGCATCAGCCAGAGGCTACACGGCTGGATTTCAGGTAGAAGCTTATGGCTGCTTCGGAGAGCCATGGGGCACTGGGCTGAGATTCTTTTATCCAGCCACTCCAGTGACTGGGAGCCAGCAGTGGAAAAAATGATCGTGACCAGGGGGAGCTATGGGGAAAGATCAGAAGCGAATAAAACTTCTAGATAATAGATGTCAATAATATTTGTAGATAATAGATAATAGTGATGAAAGAGAGATAAAGCTGGAGAGAGAACAGAGCGGGTTTCAGCAGGCTATGGGGAACAGTCTGGGAAGACCCTGAGTAGAGTGAGGGAGCCCGAGGGAGGCCGGGGGAAGGATGCTCAAGATGAAGGACAGACAACCACAGCAGCGATTCCATATGCAGATCCTAGCAATGAGCGTTTACGAGGGGCTGTGGGTTGGTACCATTGTTACTCCATTTTGTGAATGAGGAGATGGGACCCAGCTGGGGCTGCAAGGGTGCATTTCTTGCTTCCTCCTGTATCCATCCCCCAGGAGTGTGTGGAGGACTCGGTGACCCCCATCGTCTTGCGTCTCAACTTCTCCCTGGTGGGCAAGCCCATCTCTAGCCTAAGAAACCTCCAGCCTATGCTGGCAGTGGATGCCCAGAGATACTTCACGACCTCTGTGAGTCCTGGAGTTGGCCTTTTCCGGAGGGGTTGGAGGGGGTGGACTGTAGATCTTGAGGGAAAACCCTGCTTTGCCTTCCCTCTCAGCTCCCCTTTGAGAAGAATTGTGGTGCGGATCATGTCTGCCAGGATGACCTCAGCATCTCCTTTGGGGTCTCAGAGTGAGCATCCAGCCCCTTAGACCTATCTTGGTTCCCCAGGCCCCCTCCTGGAACCCAGGGCTCCTGTCTCTGGCTCTTCCTAACGTCTCTACCCAGGGCTCTGCACCCAGACACACTGTCCCTGTCTCTCCCCCCACTTCCCCACTCTGCATTTCATCCCGACCCCATTTTCAGCCTCAGTCATAGAATCATCTTCTCTCCTCTGCCCCAATGCTAGCTTGAAGACCCTGATCGTGGGGAGTAACCTGGAGCTGAACTTGAAAGTGAGAGTGTGGAATGATGGCGAGGACTCCTATGGAACCGCAGTCACCTTCTTCTACCCTCCAGGGCTGTCTTACCAACGTGTGACCGGGGGCCAGGTACTGTCCCCTCTGGGGAAGGAAAGGCTGATGGCAGGGGGCCAGCAGAGACTCCTGAGTTGGGTTCAATGCTCAGGCAGGTCTTCCACTGTTTAGCATTCTTAAAAGCCAAGAGGCTGGACTGATCATGGTTAGATGGATGTGGTTGTGTTTGCTGCAGTGTGCCTCAACTAATTTTGTGTTCAGCTCTGAGCTTAGCATTTTGAGAATGATAGTCAGGAATAAGTTCCCAGGAGGATGCTAGTGTGAGGAGTGCAGGGACACTGCCTTCTATTTCTTTGTATTCCACATTGTATCACTGTTTCTCTTTTGAAGGAGAACATATCTCAGCCTTCAAATATTTTAAAACAATGTTTCAGGGAATTCCCTGGTGAATCTAGGGTGAAAACCCTAGAATGCAGGGTTTTCACTGCAATGGTCCAAGTTCAATCCCTGGTTGGGAAATGGAACTAAGAGCTCAAAAGCCTTGTGACTCAAAAATAAAATAGAAAAGAAAAAATTAAATAAAATACTGTCCTGTGGAAGAATGAGTTGGATTTATTGGTTACTCTAGATCAGAGCTTGGCATACTTTATCCATAAAGGGCTAGAGAGTAGATATTTCAGTTTTGTGGGTCAATTTTGTCTTCATATTTGCTGATGTAAAGTGAAAGCAGCCATTGATAATATGTGTATGAATGAGCATGGCTGTGTTTCAATAAAACTTTATTTATACAAATTGGTGCTGGGCTGCCATATGGCAATCCGTGTTCTAGAAGACAGAACCAGGACCACAGGGAGTCAAAGAGAGATTTTTAACAAACATTTTATTATGAAAAATTGTGCTAAACATTTACAAAAGAAGAGTGGTTCAACAAACCTCCTCCTAAATTATCGCCCAGATTCAACAGTCATCAGCATTTTGCTACATTGTTTCATCTGCTTTTACCCTCTCTTGGTTTAAATATTTTAAAACCAATCCCAGACACCCTGTCATCATACATCTTCCTGTTTCACTGCTCTGGATAGTAGAACTGTCTTACATGACCCCATAGCCATGATCACACCCAATGAAATAAATGATTTCCTGGTATTTAGACCATAATCAATTTCCTTAATTGTCTCAAATATATCCTTTTAAGTAGTTTATTTGAACCAGCATTTAAACTAGGTCCACATTTTATGTTTGGTCGTTATCCCATGTGTCTCTTAAGCCAGTATTCCCAAAGGAAGCTTATTTTGATCAATGAAGATCAAATACATGATGAATGTATTTCTAGGAATGTTTGTCTATGAGTTTGTCTAGGAATAAGCTCCAGCTTCCTTCTGAGGGTGAACACCCTATCATTGGAGGTACTTCTAGACACACCAACTAGATGCCATGTGTGGACCTTTTATGGATATGGCTTTTATTTACTTTTTGAAAAGATTTATTTATTTGGCTACACTGGGTCTTATTTTTGGCATGTGGGAACTCTTAGTTGACGCATGGGAAGTCTCAGTAGTGGCATATGGGATCTACTTCCTTGACCAGGGATTGAATCCAGGCCCTCTGTGTTGGGAATGTAGAGTCACAATCACTGGACCACCAGGGAAGTACCAGATATTACTTCTAAAAATGAGCCATAACATTCACATTTTTGGATAAAATTTAGAACGACTTAACATGACTTGGATATCAGCTGATCTTAAGGAATTATTGTTAATTTTGCTAGGTCTTGTGCTTATGTTAAAAAACACCCTTATCTGTTGTTTGTATACACTGAAGTCTTCCCAGATGGAAAGTATGTGATATTAGGAATGTGCTTTAAATAATTCAGGAGAGAAAAAGCAGAAAACAGGTGAACAAAACAAGAGTAGAAAACTGCTGGTAATTTAATCTGAGTGATGGGGATATGGGATGGATTTATCTTGTCTTTCCACTTTCGAGTAGATGTGAAATTTTCATAATACAAATCTTTTAAAAAGAACTGTGAATTTAAAAGAGGAAAAATGCTATTACTAATAAATCTGGGATTTCTACCTTAGGAGGAAGTTTGACCAGATAGTGTTCAAGGATTTAAAAAAATTTTTTAAGTCACACCAATTTCTTTATTTATTTTTGACTGTGCTCAGTCTTTGTTGCTGTGGGAGGGCTTTTCTCTTGTTGTGGTGATTGGGGGCCACTCTCTAGTTGAGGGGCTTGGGCTTCTCATTGCAGTGGCGTCTCTTGTTGTGGAGCATGGGATCTAGGGCCCCAGGGCCTCAGTAGTTGTGGCTCCTGGGCTCTGGAGAACAGACTGAGTATTACATGGACTTAGTTGCCCCGAGGCATATGGAATCTTCCAGGACCAGGGATCAAACCCGTGTCCCCTGCATTGCAAGGCAGATTTTCAACCGCTGGACCACCAGGGAAGCCCCAAAATTTAAGACAAAACAAAACATAACCTTAAGGTAAATTGCAGGTAACTGTCACTTCTGTATAGAGTTTTGTCGGGACACTAACAAGTTCTCACCTGCCTTGGTTCATCTGTGCTTCCCCAGAACCATCTGCAGTTGCGTTCCCTGCGTCTGACCTGTGACAGCGCCCCCGCTGGGACCCAGGGCACCCGAAGCACCCGCTGTAGCATCAACCACTTCATCTTCCGTGAGGGCGCCCAGGTCCGCCTTGCTTCTGCCCGCACCTCCTCCCCGGCCCCCACGCGGTCCCTCTCCTCGGTGACCGCCTCCCATTTCTGCCTCCTCCCCAGATCACCTTCACGGTCACCTTTCACGTCGCCCCCACGGCCACCCTGGGGGACAAGCTGCTTCTTGCCGCTAATGTGAGCAGGTGAGCTGGGCCAGGCCCAGGGCAGCGCCCCCTCCCTCTCAGTCTCCTCCCCTGGGGAACTTGCCAGCTGGGATTCTCCTCTTTTTCCAGTGAGAATAACAGCCCCAAGACAAGCAAGACCGCCTTCCAGCTGGAGCTGCCCGTGAAGTATGCCGTCTACACCGTGATCAGCAGGTGCCACACCACGACCTCCAAGGGGTCCTCACCCATCACTCTATGGGACAGGAGGAATTCTCTCTTTCTATAGGAGCTGAACCTCTGCCAAGTTTAAGTTTGCTTGTCTGGGGGTTTTTTTGTTTTGTTTTGTTTTGACCATGCTGGGTCTTCATTGCGGTGCTCAGGCTTTCTGTAGTTGCAGCTCACAGGCTTAGTGGCCCCGTGACATATGGGATCCTAGTTCCCTGGTCCCCTGCATTGAAAGGTGGATTCTTATCCACTGACCACCAAGGAAGCCCCTCAAATTTAAGTTTTATTGCTACCCTTTCAATCAGTAGATGACACTGCTGGCAGCACTTACTAATCAACAGTGCTTTTTGTGGCTATTGATAATAATAATTATGATATTATTATCATTATAGGCCACATTTAATAGAGGCCCCAGGACAAGCTGGGGTGTTTTGGAGGGGCCCTTCTTAGAGAGATGACACTTCAGAGTAGGAGTGGGGGTTTGAATTACTGTGGTGCAGGTGAAGGGCAGGTATGCAGGAGTGGAGTGGGGCAGGGGAGGGGGCAGGGAAGCGAGAACAGCCCCCTTGGTGAGGGGCCAGGCTGGGGACCGAGGGCAGCCCCGAGGTGCGGTTACACTGATACCCATCGGAGAGTCCGTGTTGGGCCCACCCCCCGCCCCGAACACCAGGCCCAGAAAAGCTGAGGAGGGAATTCTCTGCTTGTCCTGTGACTAAGACTCTGAAGTTTCATTGCCAAGGCTGCAGGTTTGATCCCTGGTCAAGGACCTAAGAGCTCACGAGCAGAAAGGAAGAAAGAGAGAGGGAGAGGGAGGGAGGAAGAAAGGAGGGAATAAAGAAAGAAAAACTGAGGAAACGGGAGAGAAGGGCCCCAGGGCAGACCCCAGGGAGCTAGAAGGGGTGGGTCCAGTAGACGTTTGTCAGCAGTGTCAGCCTGAGTCTCCCTACACCTTCGTCGTGTCCCACCTGCCCATCTGGCCTCCTCCAGTCCACAAAGGCCCGGAAGGGGGACCCGGGCATGAGAGGGTAGGCCCTGGCCCCCTCCCCCTGGTCAGACAGAGCTCTCAGCAGTCCCTGTGACTCCAGCTCCTTGCCTGGCTGCCCCGGCGGTCTCCTCTCTGGACAGTCTCTACAGGAAGCCTGCACCCAGCCTGCAGCCCAGCCCGGCTCCCTGAACCCTCCCGTTACTCCAAGTCAGCTACTCACTCCCGACCAGCCCAGGGGCCCTCTGACCACCCGTCCTGTCACGCTCTCACTCCGAGTCTCCTCAGGAGGCCCTAACGGGACGTCTCCTCCGCCCCTGCCTCCTCTCCCCGCAGCCACGAACAATCCACCAAGTACCTCAACTTCTCGGCCTCACAGGAGGAGGGCAGCAGGGTGGCCCAGCACAGATACCAGGCACGTGTGGTGACTTGGGAACATGGCCCGGGGCGGGGGGCCCAGGAGCCAGAGATCCGGGAGGGTGGGGGGCTCGGCATGACCTTGGCCCTCACAGTCCTCTGTGCAGGTGAACAACCTGGGGCAGAGGGACCTGCCTGTCAGCATCCACATCTCAGTGCCCACGGAGCTGAACCAGGTGGCCGTGTGGAAGGACATAGTGGTCCTCAACCCCCAGGTACTCACAGGACGCTATGGGTCCTCCGTTAATGCCTTCTCCCTGGACTCGCTGCAATTTTTTATTGTTCTTTAGTGGTGTCCAACTCTTTTGCAACCCCATAGACTGTAGCCCACCAGGCTGCCCTGTCCATGGGATTTTCCAGGCAAGAATACTGGAGTGGGTGGCCATTTCCTCCTCCAGGAAATCTTCCCTGACCCAGGGATCGAACCTGCATCTCCCTCATTGGCGGGTGGGTCCTTTACCACTGAGCCACCAGGCAAGCCCTGCCTGGCCTCCTCAGTCTTTGTGAGTCGCATGCTTTCTCCCTGTGCCTTTTTCCTAGAACCCCTCCATTCAATGCTCTTCAGAGAAAACAGCGCCCACAGAGTCTGACTTCCTGACCCACTTGACGAAGAAGCCTGTCCTGGTGAGAGGGCCCTGGGTGGTCCCCCACTGGGAGCCACACTTCAGAGGGATTTGATTCAGGAATGCGTATTGTATCAGATGGATGTCTGCTGAACAGCCTGCTTGAGCTCCCGATGTGGCAGCTCCTCTCAAATCAGACAGTTGAACGCTGCCTTCTACCTTCCAACCCATCTTTCCCTGGCCTGACGCCACTTGTGTCTCCAGGACTGCTCCGTCGCTGACTGCCTGAGGTTCCGCTGTGACATCCCCTCCTTCGGCCTCCAGGAGGAGCTTGACTTCATCCTGCAGGGCAACCTCAGCTTCCGCTGGGCCAGCCAGGTGTGCAGTTCTAAGAGCAGAGTCCCTTCCCAGACTCAGGTGGAGTCTGACGTGTCTCTGCCTGCCTCAAGCCAGGGCGTTTCTCTACCCCTGAGCCCTCCTACCCGTCCAACCAGAGCTAGTTCCCAGCTCTCCCCTTCTGTTTTGCAGACACAGCAGAAGAAGGTGCTGGTTGTGAGCGTGGCTGAAATCACCTTCAACAGACTCGTGTATTCTCAGCTTCCAGGACAGGAGACATTTTTGAGAGCTCAGGTAGTGACCATGTGGCAGGCAGTGGCTGGGCTGGTCAGACAGTTCCTGATGCTAAATCCGTGATGCTGAGTGGGGGGCTTGCAAGCCTGGAGAGAGGCAGGATGGATGGAGAGTCCCAGGCAGGACAGTTGTTCCTAAGCCCATGAGTCCTTCTGTATCCCACCCCTTGGAGCAGAGCCTGATGAAGGAGGGGAGGGAGTTCAAGGGGACCTGGGAGGAGTCTGGGACAGCAGGAGTCCTAAGCCTTTCTGATGGGGTCATCTCCACTCCAGACGGAGCTGGTGCTGGAGAAGTATGAGGTCTACAACCCCATCCCCCTCATGGTGGGCAGCTCTGTGGGAGGGCTGCTGCTCCTGGCCCTCATCACAGCCTTGCTGTACAAGGTGAGTGTTTTTATCCCACTGCAGACACCACCAGCATTTGATCACACTCTTTCAATAGTGTAAGAAAGAGCTCACCGTCAAGTCAAGCCCACATTCTTCCTAAAGAGATCCCTTCCCACCTGTGACATCTGTTATTGTTTAGTCTCGTAAGTCGTGTTTGACTCTTTTGCGACCCCATGGACTGCAGCCCACCAGGTTCCTCTGTCCACGGGATTTTCCAGAATACTGGAGTGGGTTGCCATTTCTTTATCCCAGGGGATCTTCCCATCCCAGGGATTGAACCCATGTCTCCCGCATTGCTGGTAGATGCTTTCCCGCTGAGCCATCAGGGAAGCCACCTGTGACATCACCTGTCCCCAGTGGACTCCATGTCTTTCTGTCTGATTCTCAAGCCCCCTCTAATCTGTCTCCATTCCTTTTCTGCTCTTCTTCACCTCCTTACATGTTTCCCTGGAAGGCAAATTAGAGTGTGAAAGCCCTGGATGTGATGTTGATGCCACCACTGATTCTTTCCTTGGCCGTTGGCATGTGGTTGGTCCATGATGGATCTTGGTTTCTCATTCTGAAGGAGGTTCTACCCAACTCACAGAACTGTGGCAGAGTCTAAATGACACTGTTTATTTAAAGTTCCTAGTATAGTGCTGGAACATAGGGTTCCAGAAATGGTGATCTCTGATCCTCTCCATCATCTCTTTTCTTCTTGTCCACTGGACTTCCTGATTTTTTTTCTCCTTCCTCCCTAACAGGTTGGTTTCTTCAAACGTCAGTACAAGGAAATGATGGAAGGAGCAAACAATCAGACTGTCCCAGAAAATGAGACAGGAGACCCCCAAGTTTCCCAATAAGATACTGCATCCTATTGTCCTATTGTCTCATCTGAAAGGTTCCCTGGCCTTCTCACTTTTGCCCAAGAAGAAACTACATCCTATTCTCCTTTGAACCTGCTCTCCCCTGAGAGATTCCCTAGCCTTGTTACTCTCACCCCAGTCAGGCCTGATGGGGAAGAAATATTCCAAGCGAGGGGAGCTGGGGTCAGCTGCTTTCTGTCTTTGGGAGGATGCAGTGTGTTTGCACAAATCACCTTGCCTGGGAGGAGGCATTGGTCTTGTCAAGACTCCAACTGGAAATCCCAGGACAGGATCCCTGCTGTGCTCCCGAGGACCTGACTTGGTATTTCTACCTAGAAATCCATGGACAAGAGCCTCAGGCTCCAGTCTCTGTTCCTCCACTAACCACCGATGATCTTCCTAAAATACAGTACTAAACCTGGCACACATCCTCATCCATCCTCATTGGTTCCCCCTTACTCGCAGTATAACTTCTGAACCCCCCAGCTTGTGAAGCAGTACACAGATGCTTCTTACAAACCCTGGGATGTATTGAAGATGACATCGTTTGATATGGTTGGTAACTGGAGAGCACTTTGAGGTCCTCTCTCGGGCACCTGCTGCCCCCAAATAAGGTCATTCTTATTATAATGCCACCTATCTCAGCATAATGGTCAATGTGGTGCCTGATGCTGAGCTGGGAGTCAACACACAGCAGGCCATTCACTGTCTGGACAGATCCTACTGCTGCCTCCAATAAGGTGCTCGGGCCTCATGGATGTTTTAATTAGAAAAACAGAAGGGGAGGCAGTTGACCATGTGATTTGAGGGGAAGCGGTTCCTTCAACTCCACTCCAAATTATCACCCCATCCACCATAGGGTCCCAAACCCTTTTGAATTTGGAAGTTTGGGGATCTCCAGAAGGACCCATTATGATGAAATTCATTAAGCTGGGCCCCAATTTAGACCTTATAAGAATTGGGGTTTAGAGTGTTCTTTTTCAAAATGTGCTCCACAAACCTCCAAAGATTTCCTAAATGCTGTTTTAGAGGGGGAAAAAAGACAAGAAACAATTTTAAACCCATGCATCTCACATATTTGATCCCAGTGACTTTCACAGAAACCCTGCCATATCCTTATAATTGTGCTCCTAAAGCTTGTCTCTGGGCTCCACGGATGGTAGTTTAACATTCAGGCAATGGTGCTATTTTCATATAATTTTCCTGTGTGTGTTATTGTTTCCCTTCATTATATGTGCAATTTTCATGGTTTCTATTGTGTTGTATTATATCCCCAAATCACAAAAATGGATTGATGGCTCAAAAAATATTCATCGAGGGATAAATATTGTGATTAAAAAATAAAAGAGAATTGCTGCAACTAGAACAATGTCATCAAAATCAGTACTGAGCAAGATTGCACTTCACATTACTCTAGACATGTATGAATGCTGGGTTGAGTGATTGTGAGCTGAGAAATTAAAATGTGTCTAGGAAATATACCATCTGAAAATTGGATTTTATTGGATCAGGTATCTATTTGTTCCTAGGTTGTTGTCCACTATGAAACTTTGTCCAGTCATACCATAATTTTTAAAGGATATTTTTAAGCAACCAAGAATTAGTTTTATTTATTTACTAATTTTATTTTTTGCCTAAGTGGCATGTGGGATCTTAGTTCCCTAACAAGGGATCGAACCTGCATTCCTTGAATTGGAAGCTCCGAGTCTTGACTACTGGACAGCCAGGGGGGTCCCCTAGTACCATAATTTTATCAAAGCTGTTGTGTCATTTTCAAACAAAGCATAATGGCCTCTCACATAAAGCCAGAGATTTCTTTGAATGACTGCAACATATGACTGTCCCATCTAAGATCAATTAATTTCATCTGAAGATAGAGAAGACAGAAAAACCCCAGATGCATAAATCAAAGTTGCTGATATAGCAAAAGCATGTGCAAGTCACATAATTTCCAAGAAGCCTATAAAACCAACCAAAGGTTAACGTCTGTATCAGAAGGTTGCTTTTGGCTGCAAGTAACAGGAGCCCACGAAGTACATAAAGGCATATACTGATAAAAGGCCTTCACATAAGAGGTCCAGTAGACCCCTGGCCAGTGAGTCTCAAAATCAATTTGATTTCACATGGGGGGGGGGCAACAGTGCACCTTTCAAGTGCTCCTCAAGGCTGCTTGCACAGCCTCTGTATGTCTTTGGTAGCCCAAAATCTGTTCCTGTTCTCCTTCCCCACATTAGTAAAATGGGCTCATTACATTGATGATAGACTATCTTTTTATTATTTATTTTTAAAACTTTTGATTGCTCTAGATCTTTGTTGCTGCATATAGGATTTCTTTAGTTGCAGCTCAAGGGCTCAGTAGTTGTACATGGGCTTAGTTGCCCCAAGGCATGTGGGATCTTCCCAGACTAGGGATCAAACCCATGTCCCCTGCATTGGCAGGCAGACTCTTATCCACTGGACCACTAGGGAAGTCCCGATGATAGAGTATTAATAGAGGAAGACTTGTCTCTGCTCAGGACACTCTGCAGACTCTGCTGGAACATGTTTGAGGGAGAGGATGGGTGGTGAACCCACAGAAAAGTCAAGGCCAAGCATCACAATGTAGTTTTGGGGAGTCCTTTGGTCAGGTAAACTTCCCTTGTGGCTCAGCTGGTAAAGAATCCCCCTGCAGTAAACCTGGGTTTGATCCTTGGGTTGGGAAGATCCCCTGGAGGAGGGAAAGGTTACCTACTTCAGCATTCTGGCCTGGAGAATTCCATGGATTTTATAGTCCATGGGGTGGCAAAGAATAGGACACAAATGAGCTACTTTCACTTTCGGTAAGGTGCATACTGTCCCAGAAGCTATGATGGATGGGGAGCAAGTCTTTCCAACCCCTAAGAATATGAAGAAGGTGCAAGACTTTGTGGGGGTTTGAGGTTTGGAGGACACATATTCCCCACCTGGCACAGGCCTCCATCTCTTATACCACCTGGTAAAGGAAGGATTGAAGGCAGGAGGAGAAGGGGACGACAGAGGACGAGATGGTTGGATGGCATCACCAACTCAAAGGACATGAATTTGAGCAAGCTCCGGGAATTGGTGATAGACAGGGAAGCCTGGTGTGCTGCAGTTTACAGGGTCGCAAAGATTTGGACACAACTGAGTGATTTAACTGAAAGTAAGGGCATGTATGGGACTGGGGATCAGAGTAACCAGCCACCTTTGAGAAGGCAAGATGCTAGTGAAGCAGATTAAAGCTCTGGGCATCCCGCAAGCAAGGCTTCCCGGGAGGTAGATGCCTCTGTGACTCTGGAAGGCATGAGGTGGGGACAGTCGCAGACAGCAAAAGGGAGTACCCCTAGGATTTTGGTCCCAGTTCTGAAAGGAGGCACAAACCCCATAAACCCGCAGAGAGCAGCAGTTCCTAGCACTGCATGCAGCGTTCCTCCAGGTGATGTCTCTCATGAAGATCAGCAATCATGGTAGGACCCTCCCTTCCTATTGAGGGGCAGGTTGATAACTATGTGTCACCCACCCACATCTGCTGTAGCACTAACTCCCACTTTGACTAAGGGGCTTACCCCTCTGCAGCAGAGGGGAGTCTGCCCTACAAAATCCCCTGCCCCTAATTCTGCCCCTGTGGTCTATAGGGAGGGAGTGGGGGAGATTCCCTCTGATGCCCAGTGTACTGGTTGGGGTGACCAGTCTACAGTCACTGTTCAGCTCAACACTGACACCATCTGGAGGGAAACAGGCATGAACCACAGCTACCAGGGGGCTGAACTCAGAGAGCTCGTGAGCTCTGGCCGTTAACACTTTGCACTGACAGTTGGACTGTTCTAACCCTACGGCTTAGAAAATGGGAAACTGGGGGGTGGATGATCATGAATAAGCACTGATGGGGTCAGGATATGTGGAAAGACATCTGGGTTTGCCTGCAAGAGCCTGAGTCACTTCTCACTGTCCTCCATGTCCCGGCTCAGAGGATGTTGATGCCCCTGGCAGCCAGGAAGCTGATGGTGTAGCCCGGATATGAGCCCTAGCAATGCACACTTCAGTTGTGGTGTCCGCGTGGGATGGTGTGTTGTCAGTGATGCTGGATTGCCCTTGAAATACACTGACTTGGTTAATGCAGATACAGCATGTCTTGTATGTTCTAAACAACCAAAGGATTCTGGGGCCATCCACTGGGAGGGAGCTCCCAGCAGGTGAGGAATTGGCAAATTGATTATATTGACCCCTCCCTCTGAGTGAGGGCTCTAAACATGCCTCGGTTTGTGTGGACACTGCATCTGGCCTGACCCAAGTTTTCCCCGGTGGCTGCATGAACCAGGCTTTTAGGGAATTAGAGAGGCTGAGTACCAGGGACAGATACCCTCACTGAGTAGGCAGGGATGGGAGTCACATTTCAAAGGTCATGAAATGCAAGACTGGGTGAAGGAACATGACATTGAATGGGGTTCTGTATCCTTTACAAACTGCAGGCAGAAGTGTTGGTAGAAATGGAAGAATGAAATATTAAAATAGCAGATTAAATTACTAACAGGTAAAACCACCTCGGTCAGGTGGATTAAAGGACTGTCCCAGCCTTTAGTACACTTGAATGACAACCAGTAGGGCCTGTCGCCCCATCTGCCAGACTGGAGAACCCTGCTGAGACACCCAATACTTTAAATGTATGGGAGTCATGAGAGATGGACATCACCCCGATTCTCACCATGGATCATGGGGTGCTGCTGGGTATGTGGGCAGCTGCCCCTCTCAGCTTGGTCAAGACTGGCATGGTGGGTATCACCACTCCAGGGAGGGGATTGGAAGGCCCTAAAGCAGTACACTAAGGAAGGACAAGCCAGGACTAGTACTCTTTTAGTTTCCTTTTTATGGAAGTATATTTGATATACAACATTGTGTTAGTTTCTGATGTACAGCAAAGTGATTCAGTTATGTATGTAAGTGTATATATTGTTAGATTCTTTTCCACATAGATTATTACAAGATATTGAATATAGTTCACTGAGTTATACAGTAAATCCTTGTTTTTTATCTATTTTATAAATAGTGGTATTTGCATGCATACTCGGGTTGTGTCCAACTCTTTGTGACCCCATGGACTGTAGCCCACCAGTAACTCTGTCCACGGAATTTTCCAAACAAGGATACTGGAGTGGGTTGCCATTTCCTACTCCAGGGAATCTTCCCGACTCAGGGATTGAACCCAAGTCTCTTGCATCTCCTGCAGTGGCAGAAGGGTTCTTTACCACTTACACCACGTGGGAAGCCTGTACAGTGAGGTAGCATTGACTAACTTGTGTGTGACCTAGGAACCATATCACTTTATACTTGGATGAAGTCACTGATGTGGAAAGTCTGAATCAGCCCTGGGCTTTTCTGCAGTGCATTTATGGGGCAGATGTGCTTGCTAAATTTTTATCACTGAAAACCTGAGTCACTGAAAATGAGATTCGGTTGTTTGTAACTAATGTTCATCCTGTTAATTAATGTTTTCTTTGAGTGGCCGGAAAAAGGTGCTGATGGAGTGCTGGCCTGAAGAAGTTGATCTATGTACCCTTGGTTGGCAGAGGATCGGGGGGAGGCTGGGGAGGGGGTGCAGTTAACAAGACACCTTTCAACATTGATTTGGTGCTGAAGGAAAGAGAGGGAATTGTAAATCTGATCAAGTCATGGCCAGTGTGTTCATCTTTGCAGTGCTGTGAGGAGGAATGGGTATTTCATATTAAAGGGATGTCAGGGAGAAATATAGTCATTTGAGATTTTATTTTTATTTTTGGCTGCCCTGGGTCTTCATTGCTACCAGTGGACTTTATTGCAGTGAGCTGGGGCAACTGTTTATTGCAGTGCACGGGCTTCTCATTGCTGTGGCTTCTTTCGTCGTGGAGCACGGGCTCTAGGCACGCAGGCTTCAGAAGTTGCGGCACACGGACTTAGTTGCTCCTCAACCAGCGGAATCTTCCCAGAGCAGGGACTAAACCTGTGTCCCGACTCTGGAACCTTTGGGTAGGCGGCGGTGGAGAGGGGACCTCGAGGGTCTTTAGGAGACAACTCCACCCCTAGGTGGTTTGAACTTTGAGCCTGTTTTAGTCCTGATGAGAAGTTTCGCTTTCCTCAAGTTTAAGACACTTGGAACTTCAAGAATTGGAGGTTTATGCCGTTTGAGACCGGTCAGCACTGAGCAGAGTTAAGAGTACTAAGAGACAGAAGAGAAAATGTACAAGAATAGCCAAGAATTTGGAGGAAAAACCCCGCAATAATAAAGAGATTAAAATGGCTTCCAGAGGAAAGACAGAGACAAGCAAATTAAAGCAGAATTTAGAAGAACAGTTGGATAGACTAATGCAGAATTACAAGACCTGGAGGAATGCAGAGAGGAACTTGATACAGATGAATATGAAGAAACCAAAAAGGAAACTCTGGAGCAACTAAGTGAATTTAATGATTCACTGAAGAAAATTATGTCTGGAAATATGACTTTGGTCGATGAACTAAGTGGAATGCAACTGGCTATCCAGGCAGCTATCAGCCAGGCCTTTAAAACCCCAGAGGTCATCAAATTATTTGCAAAGAAACAACCAGGTCAGCTTCGGACAAGGTTAGCAGAGATGGATAGAGATCTCATGGTAGGAAAGCTGGAAAGAGACCTGTATACTCAACAGAAAGTGGAGATACTTACAGCTCTCAGGAAACTTGGAGAGAAGCTGACTGCAGATGATGAGAACTTCTTGTCAGCAAATGCAGGTGCTATTCTCAACCAGTTTGAGAAAGTCTCTACAGACCTTGGCTCTGGAGACAAAGTTCTTGCTCTGGCAAGTTTTGAGGTTGAAAAAACGAAAAAATGATATGGTGTGAAAGCTTGAGACAATGATCACATTCTTATTGTAAATGGTATTTTTCTTCTGAGGAGTTTGAGTTATGGCAGAGAAATCAAGAGATTCATGAAATGTATTCACAACCTAAGAAAAGGTGACAGAAAAACTTACTCACGGCTTTTGTTTATGCCCTTTGTCATTGTGCTTAGAAATATGCGAGTGATTCTCGCCTTGTTGGGATGGAAGGCCTCATGGACCTTGTTCATTATAGTTTGTTTAAGAGAAATCAGTGTCTCTGCCTGTTTTTATTAAACCTCCCTGTTCTTAAGTGCTGATAGTAAATGAAAATATGTGAAGTGACAGTTCTTTTCTGCTCATAATTTATCCCCACTTGTTGGAGTAAATAATGTAGCAACATCAATGGACCTCATATATGTTCACAGCATTTTAGAGTTCTAAGTGATCTTAGAAATCATTTTCATTTTACATATAAGGAAAATGAGGCTCAGAAAGAGCAAGTGACTTGTTTGAAATCTTACTAGAGACAGAGCTGGGGATAAGACTTGGGTGTCCTGTCAGTGTAATGTCCATTAAGTTTTATTTGTTTACTTTGTGCTACTTTTAAAAAATAATTAAGACATATTTGTAAAGTCTATGTAGTCTATGTTTATGGACATTCAGTGTCCCAATAAGTTGTCACTGAGGGACCATTCTCCAGCCTGTAAGCTCTCTGTATGAATGGTGCCCATTGTGTCTCTGAGTTTTGAGCTTGGAACAATGGGAGCCCTGTTGCGAGTCTCCTGAGGTAACTTAACCTCCTGTGTTGTTTCACCAGGGAAGCAATTGGAAGTGGCAGCTTGAGGCCCTCCCTGTGTGTGACCTCTTTGCTGAAACCCAGAGGGTGGTGACCGTAAACTACTATTTACTCTTCAGTTTTTGGAGAAATGCAAAATAAGTTCCAAGGAGTAGCCAGTTTCTCTACTGAGTGTTTAGTCTCTCTGCACGCTCAGATATGTAGATTTTTGCATATGTATGTATGTCAGCTTGTTTCCCAGGCTCTGGCCACTTTATATTCGTATATGTTTTTCTCAATATTCTTTTTCTTTTAAAAATTAAAAACATTCTTACAATGAAAAAAAAAAAAAAAACCAAACAAACCTGTGTCCCCTACAGCGGCAGACAGCTTCTTAACCACTGGACCACCAGGGAAGTCTTGTTTTTATTTTAAATTGTGGTAAAATGCACAGAAGGTAAATTTTACCCTCTAGCTATTTATAACTGTAAAATTAAGCAGTGTCAAGTGCTCTCTCTTTGTTGGGCAACTGTCACCACCATCCGTCTCGAGAACTCTTTTCATCTTGTAAAATCAAACCTCAATACCCATTTAACCACAACCCCTCATAACTCCCCTCTCCCCAGCCCCTGGCAACCAACATTCTGCCTTCTGTATCTGTGACTCTAACGACTCTAGGTATCTCCTGTAAGTGGAGTCACAACAGTGTTTGTCTTTTTTGTAATTAGGTTTATTTAACTTAGGATAATGTCCTTGAGCTTCACCCACGTTGTAGCAACTATCAGAATTTCCTTCCTTTTAAAGGCTGAATAATACTCCATTATATATATCACATTTTAGGGACTTCCCTAGTGGTCCAGTGGTTAAGACTCTGTGGTCCCAAAGCAGGGGCCCTGGGTTCACTCCCTGATCAGGGAACTAGGTCCCATATACCCCAATTAAAAGATCCCACGTGCCGCAACTAAGACCTGGTCCAACCAAATAAATAAATATTAAAAATCAACAACAACAGTAAAACAATTGTTCAGTGATAAAACAGAGTCCTTGTCTCTCCTCAAGGAATATACCTAATGATCTGACACATATCTTTGAGTTGTTCTGCAGAAACTAAGACACCCACTCAGGTAGAGGACGGTGACCACATGCTGACTACAAGCACGTAGATTCCAGCTAGTTGCAACCAGAAGGTTGATGATTAAGATTCCTGAAACATCACCCTGCTACCTCACAGCCAACCAATTGGAGGAAAGTTCAGGAGCTGCACCCCTCGCCCCAAGTGTTGCCTTTAAAACCCTTCCCTGAAAGTCATTAGGGAGTTCACGTCTTTTGAGCACAAGCTGTCCATTCTCCTTGCTTGGTGCCCTGCAATAAATGCTGTACTTTCCCTCCACCACAACCCAGTGTCAGCAGACTGGCTTTGCTGTGTGGTGGATGAGCAGAGAAGTCTACCCAGTGGGGACACAACTCTAGCCCCACTCATAATCGTGTTAAATGTGAGTACACACTAGTGAAGGCATGTTAGCTAGCTTTTCATGCCTTTATCCCCACCCTCCACTCTGTTTTGTTGTTGTTCAGTTGCTAAGTTGTGTCTGACCCTCTGTGACCCCATGAACTACGGCATGCCAGGTTTCCCTGTCCTTCACGATCTCCCAGAGTTTCGCTCATGTCCATTGAGTCGGTGACACCTTCCAAACATCTCGTGCCCTGTCATTCCCTTCTCCTCCTGTTCTCAGTCTTTCCCAGCATCAGATCTTTTCCAACGAGTCAGTTCTTCACATCAGGTAGTCAAAGTACTAGGGCTTCAGCATCACTCCTTCCAGTGAATATCCAGGGTTGATCTCCTTCAGGACTGACTGGTTTTATCTCCTTGCTATCCAAGGGACTCTCAAGAGTCTGATCCAGCACCACAATTTGAAAGCATCAGTTCTTTGGCACTCAGCCTTCTTTATGATCCAACTGTCACATCTGTACGTGACTACTGGGAAAAACCATAACTTTGACTATACAGACCTTCATTGGCAAAGTGACATCTCTGCTTTTTAATACTGTTTAGGTTTGTCATAGCTTTTCTCCCAAGGAGCAGGTGTCTTTAATTTCATGGCTGCAGTCATTGTCCACAATGATTTTGGAGCCCAAGAAGAGAAAAATCTGTCACTGCGTCCACTTTTCCCCTTCTATTTGCCATGAAGTGATGAGACCAGGTGTTTTTAGACAACCAACTTTTTTTAAAGATTTTTTTTGGATGTGGGCCATTTAAAAAGTCTTTATTGAATTTGTTACAATATTGCTTCTGTTTTATATTTTGGTTTTCTGGTCACAAGACATGTGGAATCTCAGCTCCCTGACAGGGATTAAACCCATGCCCCCTGCATTGGAAGGTGAAGTTTTAACCGCTGGTCCACCAGGAAAGTTCTGGTAACCAATGTTTTAATTGCCAGCTCCAATTCTCTGTCAAACTAGCACTCCAAGGTGGGTATCTCTCTGCTCATTGTTGGACATCATAGGAGTTCCTTGGTCTGGGGAAATGACAATTAGCTATCCATACTGATGCAATATTTTCTCTTCCAGTTCTTTCATAATGCTATAAGCATTTTCATCTACCACCGAGTAAGCAAAGCCCAATCCAGAATCAATCTATTCTCGTCAGGACCCATCTGCTGCCCCCAGGGTTACCAGCATCCATCTGATTTACCAGTTATGTTTAGCACCTTCCCACCAGGGAAGCTGTCACGACACTATCTGCGGTCTCTGTCTCTCTTGCTGGCAGACAGAACAATCTTTTTGACATTTTATGCCTTAGAAGGTGTGATATAAAGGAGTCCCCAAATGGAGTCATCTTTGTTAGGTTCCCACATCAGCAAACCAAGACTTAAAACATAACTAATTACAGTTTCGATCTCCCCCTTCAACCTTTAACCAGCCAAACTGGAATTTCCTGATCAGCATTAGGAATAAATCTGCTGATAAACTCCTTCTGTTCCCCCTTAGGAGGATGACCTTGCCTAAAACAAGGCTTTCTTTGATGATAATTTCTTTTTTTCTGTTCCCTCTCTGGTTTTGAAACCTTTTCTTATCTGTAGCTTGATGAAGCTCCTTTCTATTGCTAGATGAGATGCTGACTGATTCATGAATTTTTTCCCATTTTAACAGTTTTTAATGAAAGATATAGACCAGATGACTTTATTCCTGCATCTTCTCAATTGTTTCTTCCTTATATTTATGCTTTTCCTTTGCTACTTGGCAAGATTTGGCTTTTTGTTCAAGGATCTTTGTGCGGTCTTTGCCAGTTTTAGACTGGTGATAACCACCTTGCTGGGCTGAATGCCCACATGGACAGTCCTGCCATTAGCCTTCTCCCACTGCACTTGTTCAGTGTAGATGATGTATTTCTTTCCGTAAACCTGGGCTACTTTGCCAATTTGCTGCCCTCTGTAGTGCCCTTATGTAGCCTGAGCTTCATCATCCTTTCAGATGGGTATGGATCGAACGTTGTACTTCTGTCTCAGCTCTTAGAAAGAGAAGACATCATCTCCCTGAGAATGTGGGAAGGTGCACTGAAATGCCTTTTACAGTTCTTACTTCTGTAAGAAGTCACCAAGGGATTGAACTTCATTTTGGCCATTTTGGTGAAGCCTTTGAAAGGGAAAAGACTCATGAATGATTTTATAAAGTCATGTAGATCTTTACAATTTACTTGTTTGAATTTTTGTTATTGAACAGGTACAAAAACAGGTCTAGATTCAGCCCATCTCTGCATTGATACAGTGCCCTCACGTCCCCTCATTTCTGGACCCAATGGCCATCTCAAGAGGTCACATGGGGATATCTGCTTGTCAATTACAGTCACTTTCCAAACTTGGAAAGTAGTTCTTCCAGGGCATAGACATATCCTGATTTAATGCATTCCTCCAATTTTCATAGGATCATACCCCTTATGAGCATCCCCTTAATAGGCCAGGTTTCCTTTAACCTACCACCTGACCAAACGGACAGGCCATTGACCACTGCCTATGAGGCATTAAAAACCCAAACGATGGTCAAGTGACTAAGACTCTGCGCTCCCAGTGCAGGGGACCTGGGTTCAATCCCTGGTCAGGGAACTAGATCTCACATGCCACAACGAAGACCTAGCACAGCCAAATAAATAAATATTTAAGAAAACAAAACAAAAACCCAAACATAGGGACTTTTTAACATGGGTCAACTCCTCCATCACTGCCTGGAAAACAGCATGCAA